GTGCTTGAAACAAACTTTTTAAAGTTTTATATGGGCTATATAGATCTAAAATAATAAGATATCTTAATATACATATACAGACCGATTATGTAAAATATTTGATTATGTGACTAGCGCCTGTGGTAAAGTAAAAGAGCAACATCGAAAACATGGCTATGCTGGACAGGTATCTAACATTGATCTGTCAAAGTTTTGTACGATCCGTAGACAGATTTTTATCTTATTTGTTAAAAAAGAAAAAGTGCGATTTGGGCCTCCAGAATATTTAAATGGTACGTAATGGTACGTAATCTCCAAAAATGGTGCGTAAAATCCAGGTACGTTTCCTCCATGACCACGAAACCATTAGTATTTGTTGACATAAAAATAATAAACTCACCAAAAACTACGTTTTCGTTCTTCCCTAACTCTAATTATGTTAATGATAAGAAACAATGCTTACCTTCGGCCTTCCTCATCATAAAAACTCCTTTTGAAGTTTATTATATATCCGACACAAAAGCTTTTTTTCTACCATCTACCGAGAATGCCCTGTCCTGCTAATAATGTGGCAATGGCACTTAATGACGCAAAAAAGTGGACGACTTCATTTTTCGCGCACTTGAAGGGGTGTTCGGTCTAATTACAATATGTTTACAAACGTTTAAATGATATTTCTTATAAATCAACATTTCAATTATTCATAACCGATAGATAAGATAATTTAATTCTTCTATAAAAGAATAGTACTGTCACGAAAATTGTGTCTTGCATACCGAGTACCTGACTCCCCCGTGTAAGCGTATCGGCTTGACCGTCGCCGCCGAAACTCTTTGAACTGCCTGTGTAGTTTAACAAGGTTAGCTTTTAAAAAAGCTAGTAGCGACTCGCTTCGTAATTTTTTTTCCAGGGGTGCGTTTAAATGTAAAAATGATAGTTCTGTTAGCTGAAGAGACTTCAGCGAACATCAAAATAAAAGTGAAATAAAGTTATAGAAGCCAGTTCTCTAAGTTTAACAAAGAGGAATATGAGTATATATGAAGATGCATGTAAACAGATAGAATGAAGTCCCTATGTCTATGCACATTTACTGTATGGCCTGTTGACCTTGACCAAATAAATCTTAGATAGGTAGAGTTCATAAAGATGTCTCTTTATACGAAATTAAGTTGTAAAATGTTTAGTATTGGAATGAGTGACAGACACAAGTCCTAAAGTAAACACAAGTTGTCAGAAAAGCCGGGATCCCATTAAAAAACAAATATAGGGATCCCGGATTTTGACCAGTCTAAGATGTTTTTCAGATAAGCCGTGATCCTATTAAAACATATAGGGATCCTGGGAATTGATCAGTTCAAGAATATATTTTTCAGAAAAGCTGGGATCGTATTAAAATATAAAGAGATCCCAGGCATTGGCCAGTTCAAGAAATATAGTTTTCAGAAAAGCTGGGATCGCATATTAAACCATAAAGGGATCCCGGGATTTGACCAATTCAAGAATGTATTCTTTGATTTTTCCAATAAATTAGGCATATAATTATAAGTATTGGGATTTCCGCATTTTAAGTTTGTTAATAAATACCTCTAAATATATTTATATCCTAAGTTTGATTAATTTAACGTTCATTACATACAATAAAAAAACTTAACGTTTAATGTCCTTTCATTACGACAATAATCAATACAAATATAGTTTAATCGTTTTTCCTCTATATCTTATACGATCCCGGATCCCGGCCAGTCCGGGCCTCCCGGACCCCGGTCAGTAAATATATACACTAAATACAGATAAAGGATAAAATGACCGGAAAAAAAGGAAAAAGAAAAAAAATGCACAGAACCAGATGTACACTTATGTTAATTAACCAAACGAAAACTTACTACAGAGGAACAGGTGAGATCGCTAAAACAAAAGTCAGTGTAAATATGATTTTTTGAAAAGAATTCATGAAAACAAACATTTTAATCATCATTATATCTTTGCGCTCAAAATAATACTTGCTGCTTTTTAAAAATGGCGTGAAAATTGAAGGTTTTTTGACGCTATGTAAGATAAAATTTGATTGGCTAAATAATTTTGGATCCTAGCCCTGATAAATAAATTTTGTAGAAAGCTGGAAGCCAAGCTTCGATTAAATTTTTGGATGGTTTCGGAGTTTTAGGTTGTTTTTCAGTAAAATCCTAACGTAATACCGGCTCGCCGTGGCGAGCCGGCATTACACGCAAAGCTGCGGTTAAACTGGTAAAATAGACGCGATGGTTAGAATCGCTGTCATTTATACATGCGGGTTGTTTCTTCAAGACTTGGTGAGTAATTTTGCATCTAATAACTTGTTAAATGAAATTGATTACAAGCATGCTTTTAAATACCATCTAGAATAAATAAAATATGGATTTATGAAACCTTCAGTGGACCCGTTTTAAACGGAATACATTATTTATATCTTAAAACTTAACAAATTGTACTGTCGATTCTAACCATTAAAGTGAATTGGTCTACTTTTTTCCCCAGACAAATGTACCATTTGATGTACTGGGATCCTACATGTTTACCGGACAATCAGTTTACCGGACAAAAGCTAATCCTGCTGAATAGTATTTAATTTTTGCTTGGATTCAAAAATCATCCGGTCTGAATCGTACACACACTTTCTATTTCAAAGTAAATAACAACAAAACCACTCTCAGGTCAATATGGTTGATGCAGTTCTTTATTTACTACCATGATCTTTTGTTTATTAGTTCTTTTATGACCTGGTCATGCGGGGGAATAATGTATTCTGCGCATGTCCGAATAAAGAGGCCCTTAATGGGTTATTTTAGATAGGTTTTACTTTTAATTCTTCTCCACGTTATCTCAGGAGACAACCGTAACATATTTTACGATAAAAAGTAATTTTAAATTTAGTCCAAAAAGTATTTCGTTGTTGTCTTTTACAAAGAAATGTACATTAAAAACATATAAGGAAACGGGTTACGCCCATGGGAGGAATCTTTACATGAAATGTAAATGAAATAGATTTTATGGCTTTTGTAACATGCTACATGATGACCGATAGGAAATTGTATGACAAAGAACATAATTCCATTTAAATATCAAAATGTTTTAACGTTTAAGATTTATTAAGAATCAGTACGTTAATTGAGTTAATAGTGTTGATTTCAATTAAACCCCATATGTTGGCCTTTTCGTAACAAGCATGGCTGCAGTGTCTTGTTTTAATGGCATGCTGTTTTTTCAATATTTTAACCTTGCCTTTGAATAGTTGTAGTTTCCGTGCTGATTATTTAAAGATTAATTTCAATTCAGGACTTAAAAACATTTGAAATACAATGTCCGGTAAATTGAGCTGTCTACACGATTTTTTCTCTCTTAAAATGCCCGACTTTAAAGACACATTTCTACGGTAAAATATTTAATGTCATGTTTGTTAAAGTAATGTTTACTTGTATAAAGAACCCAAAATTATTTGGGTAAAATTCCATTCTTTTTTATTGTTTTAAATAAAAGTTAGAGCGAAAAAACATAACATTTTGTCCGGTGTTATGCAGGATCCCAGTACTGGTTTAGACCACTGATCTTTGATCATTCACACACTTCGTTTTTTCAGAATAAGTATTCAAATTGTAAAAAATAGCCCAAAATGAAAATCATTTAAACACTTTTCACTCAAATCGGGCTAAGAAAAGCATAATAAAAGATTTTCAATTTATTTCAAAGTATATTTCTTAATTATCTTTGCATATATTTCTGTTTAAAGTGCCCCAGCTCATTTATTTAAGACATTTAAATGTATTTTTTTTATTGGCTTTTAAACCTCAGTGAAGTCCCTTTAATATTCAAATGGAAACAACAAGAAAAGGAAGTAATATTACAGATTTTGTTACTGTTAGAGATCTACATAATTTCTGTTGATAGTAATATAATATTGTATACGGCTTTTTAAATAACATTTGATTACTTTATCATTTTTACTCTTTTTTTTTGTAAAATTGAATATTTCTATCAATGTACATGTAATATCATTTTTAGTTTTTATGTTGAAAATGGTAGAAATGAGAATATTTTACTGATATTATTATAATAACCAGGTAATTTTACTGAAAAACTAAATGGACTGGAGTAAATATTTTAACTAATTATACAAATAAGTTGATCTACATTTTTAAATGAATAAAGTATGGATAGTTTCTGATAATTTTAGAGAATTGGAATCTATGCGCTTGAAATTTAGGTTATAGGTATAATGATGTAAGTTATGTACATGTATAAATAAAAAAAGTTCTGTTCTGATAATAAAAAGTTGGTCCTTTACTTTTTGAATTACAATGATTTAGTAACCCTTAATTCTCAAACTGCTATTGACAATGACATATTAGCTATGATGAAAAAATGTTTTTTTCTTGAGGTATTGAGCTGTATATGCATATTAAACAATTTGGCTTGTATTTTATGACTTTCCCAAAAGTCCATGGTATAAGTTGCCAAAGGGTGATATACAAGCACCCAGTCAATTAAATAAACACTGACCAGCCAATAAACAACTTCACACTCTAAACCATATAATATTAAAACATCAACATTTAAGTGCAAAAAGGAAGACTGTGTATTTTAAGTTTCAGAGTACACCTAATTAGCAATGAAAATAAAAATATGTTTTTCTTGTGAATTGAAAGCAAATTTAAAGTGTTTAATTAAAGTGCCTCTAGTTAGAAAATTATATATATATTTAATAAAAACAGAAAAACATAATTATATCACTGATGTAATTCAGATCCGTGATTATACCCAGCAAACATTTTATATCGGCCCGACATCGGCCCGATATTGGGTTCTATATCGGCCCGACATCGGCTGCCGATATCGGCCCGATGTCGGATGTGCAACTCGGCTACACATCGGGCCGATATCGGCAACCGATATCAGCTGCCGATATTGTGCCGACATTCACAGGTTATCGCTTTTTCTCGCTAAAACTCCCTTTTCTTGATAGTTAAACCTCAATGCAAATAAGATAGGGGCAAAAGAAAAACAGAAGAATGCATCGATTTCAACAAATTTATTTAAACCAATAAATTTAAGGCTACTTTTGAGCTCATGAGATCATTCTATAAAGAATTATAGAGACTATGGAATTTACATACACGATCGCTGTATTCTCTATTTCACTGTCAGTAAACAATTTACATGGTAAAATCTAGATTACTTATATAAAACACAATGTTCTGTTCATTCAAATGCACAATTAATAGAATATATGAGGAAATTCATATTCATCTGTTGCTAAACAATTTCTTCTTAAGAGGATGTAATTAAAAAAGTAACCCATAATGTATGGTTAAGATATAAAAAGATTGTAGTAAACTAATCAAATTTACTGGAAATTGTAGAATACAGAGTGTTGTAAGAACTTGCATCCGCTTTACTACAGCAATGTTATTAAATATTAGTTGTCCTTAAATGTTCAGGAACTATACAAACAAATAATATATACAGTTACTTTATGTGAAAACGACTAGAACTCACATACATGTAAAATGTTATATAACTCAGTCATAATTACTATTAAAATACCAATGTCCCAAGTCACAATAAAAAAAAAATTAACAAAATATAAGAGAACTATAATAGGGCTTATTTTGCAACACATTGTTTCTGACTAGAAGGAATTCATGTTTCTGTTAAAAACAACACAAAAATATAAATGCAGATATACATCTTTACCAACATAAAATGACTAGGTAATACTGTGACTACGTAATACTGTGACTAGGTAATACTGTAACAACTTTCTACAAAAACGACTTGGATTGCAGCACATCACAACCATATTAAATTCACATATTTAAAAATCACAATAGCAATAAACAACCTTATAATAACCTGCAGTTTTTAAATTGAAATAAAGATATGCAAATCTCTTTCCAGACTATTAGCTATCATTAAATGTTTAATAGATTAATACATATCTGACAACAAAAACAATACAGTCAATAAAAGTTTAAACAAAAGTAAATGAAAATGTACAACATGTAAAACACATCATTAAATATGTAAAATCACAGAACTAAGGCTATTTAGTTTAGCAATTATGCATGGTTAGAAAACAACAAATTTATGTAAATGGCTAGAGTATTTGAATAATATATTACTGATAATAATAAATAAAATATAATGATTGAGGTACAGTAAAAATCATATAAGATTTATGCATGCATTCAATATTGATAACCATAGAAGAGTATTCTGCTAGCAAAAAAAACAAAACAAGGTGATTGCAAATGTTAATCCCCAAAGTCATTTAGAGAGTAGTTTATTTTTGCGTCATTTCAGATGTGTGAAAGATGGATGAAAGTTGAAAATTTTGAAAATCCTAAACAGCACTTAGACAAGCAGTTTCAAAAGAAACTAATAAGGAAAATATGGAATTTTCTATGCGTCAATTCAGGACTAATCCTGAAAACTTTCACCCATGGATGATGATGGTCTTTTGCGCTTCTTACGCCCCCCGTCCCTGTCACTCGCCATCCTAAACCATTCTCTGCAACCAAGTTCCACCTCGACTGCTGTGCACTTCTTGCACTTCATAACTGCTTCTGAAATAAAAATGAGAGCAAATAAAACAACGAGTTAATCATTTAACGCATGCCTCCACGTTTTTATGGGGTGGGCAGGGTGCTATGCATCATGTCTGCATTCTAACACAAAATTTTGACTATAATATGCCTATTAAATTACTTAAATTTTCCGCAGTGATAAATTATAAACTTCTATTCTACATAAAAAACGTTCAGTTTTATATATGTACTATCTAGAGTGTGTGTATGGTCTGTCCCACTGTATGCGACTTAAGTACTGTTATAAACACATGTTCTACTAATTGACCATTTAATCAAGGAGCATTTGCTTACTTGTCACTGCCTGGGCCAGCTTGAGTTTTCCAAAGGCTCTTTTGCCCTTCTTTCCAAACCAGTTGAACTGGACTGCCAACTGGTTTGTCAAGCATTGCCTCATTACCCGCCTCACCATGTCTGTCGTAGAGACCCCGCCTTGCACTGATAGATACGAAACCTGCAATAAAATTTCCAACAAAATATTTAATCGATAGCAATTTATCATTTATTCACTCTAGCCATATTTAACATTTTCAACTCAATAAAAATAGAGTTTTTCTTAAATTTAGTCTTAGTATTTGACTTTGGTGATTGCATACTTTGTAAGTAACAAACATCCTTCATCATATATAATCAGGAATTAAACTCAGTGTCTTAGATTTAAGCTTTTATTTTGACAAGATATAAAAATATGTCCTTTATACCAGTTCTTATTAAAAGTGCTGTACAGCATGTATGGAAACTTACTTAAAGTTGCATTTGAAAGGATATCTTTTATTAACAAAATAAATGTCACAAGAAAAAAACTTTTTTATAGTTTGAATCGAGGCAATATCAATCATCGAGCACTCTAAAGCAAAAACTATGATTTATGTACACAAATACACTTCTTCAACACAGCTAAAAAACATGCATCAATAGCTACTGAATATCTGCTAATCTGGATTCCTTTAGTCCTTTAAAATAATAACTCACCAAGCCATTAAAACATTCTCCCTCCTCTAGTTCCGCCTCAAGGGCCTCTAGCTCCTCGCTGGTGGATGCAGGTAAGTTGAGGTTTTCGGGTTTCTCTGACGACCTTACACCCTCCACCTTGGCCATCTTCGAAACAATGCCCAGCACCTGGTTCATGGTTTCCAGGAGCTCAACCTGACGTCTGGACATGGCTTCCATTAGTGTAAACATTCTGATATCCTGAGCTAAAAAGTAAAAAATGTAGGACACTGAATAGCATATACATTTGATAGCACCATAATTGTAAGGATTAGTTTATTTAAATAGTTTATGCAAATATTTTTTTAGATTAGCTAGTTTTCAACAGTGTTTCAGTTATTAAGGATGTTAACAATCTTATAATGAAAATAATATAAAATATTTGTCATTATTCACTGAAATTTGATATTTAAAATATTTGTCATTATATATTCAGATTATTATTCACTGCGTATTAGAGTTTTACATTTTCAAGAAACTAAAAATTATACCTTCATCATATCTTTTACTTATGGACCAGTATATATTTTATTAATAAATAACTCTTCATGGGAAAAGTGAAATTCTTAGCAATATACAGTATAGTCTTGGTACATGGCGTTTCTGTAATATCGACCAGCAAACAAATAGTATAAATAGCTTGTTTAAGTTTTCAGCATAAGAAAATACACATACCCGCTTCAGAACGTGGAGTCCCGGTAACACTGGTACTGGTAGCTGACGCACAGTCTCTCACAGAAGGGGTACTTGTACTCCTGGCAGGCGTTGTACTTGTATGTACAGTGGCAGGAACAGGTTGCTGGGAGTGGGATCTAGCCAGACTTGTTTCATAGCAACCAGTCTTCAATGGGGATGGCCTCTGTGGAAGGCTGCACATGTTATCCTGACACGGGGATGCTGGGGATATTGGCACCTCTCGCTCATCCTCGGATGACAAGTACAGTCGTGCAGGAAGCCTGAATTATTAATAAATGCCAATCTATAAGTTATTTATTCGTGTGTCAAAAACAAAGTAAAGTCTGAAATATATTTTTATTATTTTTAACATTTACTTTTAACAATTACAGCATCCAGGATCCTCAGTCTTCACACTAATACATAAAGCCTGAAGCATGGGGCTTATAAAATCACATTGGGATTATAAGAAGTTTGATAGAACATTATTCAAATGATTTTTAAAAAACTGAAAGTGAATAAAAAACAGATTGCATGCTACAATGCCATATAATGGAACTTACTGTTTTTTTACGTTTGGGTCGCCTGCTGTCCTCTTCCGAGTCACTGTTTGGGCTTTGTGTCGCCAAATCGGACTCCATTTCTGATTTTTTTAAATTTTTTCTCACACTGCTGTAGGACACTGTAAAAGATTTGTAAAACATTTAATGCTTAATCGTTAATTGCTACAACTCATTTTATTTATTTAAACTGTTTTTTTTAAAATGCCTATTTTTTCTCTTAAAATCAATACAGATGTACATTTCATTCATGTTGTGGAAGAGAACAAAAACATATTTATATATTTAATTAGTTGTTAAGGCTAACAGGAGACTATTGCCATAAGAATTTAAACAGGCCACTACAATATTAGGTCACATCCCTATGTTTGCTTCTCTGTATATCATGAACATCATCTTGACAAAGCCATTGAATTAATTTGCACACATACAACATAATCTATAAATTTAAAGGATTCATAAAATAGAGCGTTCTCTACATTTCAAAGAAAGTTGAATGTTTCCATGTGTATATTAACTCACTGTTTCTATACATCTCTCGGATTGGCAAAGCTGGCCATGAATCTCCTGGCGCCAGTTTATTTTTAACAGCCGATTCAACCTTCCGGGTGTCTTTAAAGTGGACAGGCCAAACAGCGCACTTTGTCCCACTTAACCAGTTGTCCGGGATAATGGCGACTTCATGGTCATCCAAAAACTCCACAAGGATGTACATATTGACCTATTGTATATAAGAATGTAATTGTTCAATATTTTATTTCACACTTTTCAGTTATATTATTTGTATGAGTGCTGTTGAGCATATTAATAAAAGGGTAAAAATAGGAAAAAGGCCTAATGTTTCTTTAATACACTTGTTACTATATATAGTAACAAAATTGCCTATGATTTCAACTGATTATGAGTGTCACGTGACCTATTATGAGTTTGCGGCCCGAGGCCGAGAACTAGTTATCAGCCCGCAGAACATGTGCATGTGTTTCAACATCAAAAGTGAAAGAAATTAAAATATATTTTTGTTTATATTGAGACATAAGCATGTCAATAGATGCCTAAACAAACTTAATACTATGTTAACGACAAAGATGATTATCTGGCAAAAATTTATATCAATAATTTCACAGGTTGATCTACGGGCGTTACACTCTTCTGTACTTCCTGCTACTTTCGTTTTTAACACGCGTTGTTGATAACAGAACTTTTAGTTTTCAATGCAATAAAATGGAAATATATTGTATTTTTATGCTCAAAACATCCTCAATCTGAATATCAAATGTTTACACTTCTATTCTTTCTTGCTTAAATTTTGACATACAAGCGTATTTTCATTTTGTTGTGCGTAACTTTGACGCACGAATTTTGAAAGTGATGCGTGTTTTAGATTTTACATGCGTATTTTACGCTTATACGCACGCTATCTGGAGCTCTGGGTAACTTGTCAAAATTTGCTCAATATTCAATTGTGCGACAGCTAAAAATTGGCCATGACTGGTTAACATTTAGAAATTATCTGCCGCATGTCCTGTGAGGCATTAATTTTTTTCACTAGACTGAAACGCTATAATGTATGTACCAAAGGCATGGAGACAAATCTGTCACGAAAAGGAATGAGAACAAATTTGCACACAACATCTTCAATACTATAAACCTTGCATTCTGTAGACAAATTATTTACTGTATAAATCATTAAATCAGAAGATGGGAGAGGAATATCAAAGAAATTTGTTTTTTGCAGAAATTCTTTTACGACAAGGAATTTCTGATGCACTGGACTTTCACAAACAATATTCACTATAAGGGCAACTTTATTTCCAATGAGAACACAGTTATTACCTTTATGAACAGAGAAAAAAGCTAATGGCAACTGGATTTGAGAGAACTGTGAGAATTTATTAACAGCAATTGGTAAAGGGCCATGACAATGTTCTCCTTTTACTGCCCCCAAGACAGGTATACTTTTAGCCTCAGCTCCAACACAGTTTTCTGAAAATCGCTTAATCACTTGCTGAAGTGGAAAATTTGGTTTCCTCACAAGCCGCTTTAGTCTGCCCAAAAAGCTCTCAAACACAAATGCAGAGAAGTGCTCAAGTGGTCCAAATGATCTGACATCTTTTGCTATATGTACAAGTCCATGTACATTGTAAACCAAATTGTAGTCACCGTAGAGTTTACCAAAATCTTTGACAAAAATCTCAAGAATCTGGTCCGAGTACAAATTATATCGTTCATGAAAACAGGGGGCTAGATAAGCAATATATTGCTACTGACAACATCATAAAATGGTTATAAACATCTGATGAAACAACATCAACTAAACACACTGGCCCAGTGTACAGTAAAAATTGTCTAAATTCCGCAGCCTTCTATCTATCTCATCAACAGTGACCTGCCTTTGCGAAGAAATTCACGAGGAAGATGTTTACCAAGATTCAGCAAATGATCAGAAATCCGACGAATTGCAGATGGCGCAAGTCGATGGCTGCCAATTGGACCTTTGACCCATATGCCAAGCAAGCGTTTAACAACGCCAAGACATACAAGATGCATGAAATCAAGTGGAAACTTTGAGACCATTCCTATGCTAAGAATTTTCAATGTGGAATCACCCAAAATATGCAATGTGTCCTCCATTTCATCAAATTGAATATCCGGTCTTTCCGTTGCTTTTGTCTCAGGAAAAGTTATCCGATTTTCTATCCGCAGACCTTTTTGACAACACTTGTCACATCCATAATAGCCAGAATGACCTTTGACCTTAACATAAGCGCGAGCAGGTGTGTCGCATATAACACATGAAATAGAAACATCAAACTCAGTGTCAAGATCAGGCACCCGCAATGGTGCTTCTTGAATCTGTACCATTTCCTCAATGAAATCCTTTAAGAATTCATTAACATCAACAGGCTTTTTTTCTCCAAGGTAAAGACCAATAACAAAAGGTTCCGACGTAATTGGTTTTGTTGCACGTCCAAGAATCGGCCAGAACTGAGCATTGGAACTTTTGAACAATGGCAATCCATCAATATTGATTTGAATCTCAATTTTCATTCTTGACTGTTGAAACAGATCACATGGTAACTGTTGCAACAAGCTTCTTAACCCGTTCTCTACACCAAAATGATGATACAACCCACCGCATATTTGTTTTATTTGGATGTGATTAGAAGTTCGTAACAATGTTCTGGGATCTTTTGGTAAACTTGGGTGAAGCGGAATCAATATTGTCAATAGCTCTCGCAATGCATTGTGGGTAACACCAAATTTTCTTGCCCATTCAGAAAGTCTGTCTTCCAGTTCAAAATCATCATCACAATCATCTGATGATGAAAAATCTTGAAATGTTTCTTCCCTATCATTATCATCTGAATTTAAAGAGTCTGAATCATCAGAAAAACTTAGGGGACCAATGTTAACTGATTGGGAAGATGTTCCTACTTGAAAATGAGCAACGTCAGAAGATACAAAGTCATCACTAACTGCATTTGTTTCTTGATTTTGTTCTGACAAATCAATTACACTTTCACCTCCCATACTTGAATTGCTTTGCATGTGAGGGTCCATTTCATTGTGTGCAACTTCCTGATAAACGGAAGACATGTGTTGAGCTACTTTTGACCTAACATATCTATAAGTCTTATAATAACTTTTATCTTTTGCCTTGTGCATTGCTGCAGTTCTAGAATTTCCTTACTCAAGAAAACCTTTTCAAAGGGTTTCCAAAATGGAAAACTATAAGTGACTATATGATGCTAGAAATAATGGCAGATTTTTGCATGTGCACTGTTCACAGGTATTGTATTTGCTGTATGTCTACAATGATGTCAAGTAATCAAGAACATCAGTTTAAAACACTTAAAAAGGCGTTTTTTACACAGGCAAATGGAATTTCTTTATCTATCTATCTATCTTCCAATAAGACAAACCCTTGGTAGGGACTTAGACTGTCAAGCGTCAACGACAAAAAAGGGAAAAGATAAAAGAATAAAAGAACGGAAATATACAGGGTGTATTGTTAAAAACAGGTTAATACACTATTGTCCAAATCGCAAACGAAAGCGATTTAATTTTTATCAATCGAACTGGCACATTATGTGATATGGCGTTTTTTACACAGGCAAATGGAATATCTTTATCTATCTATATATCTTCCAATAAGTCAAACCCTTGGTAGGGACTTAGACTGTCACGCGTCAACGACAAAAGAGATACAAAAAGAACAGAAATATACAGGGTGTATTGTTAAAAACAGGTTAAATACGCTATTGTGCAAATGCAAACAAAATCAATTTCATTTTGATCAATCGACAGGCACACTTGTGTGATATGGCATTTTTACGCTGGCCAATGGAATATCTTTATCTATCTTTATATCTTTCAACGACAACAGAGGAAAAAGAAAAAAGAAAAGAACGGAAATATACAGGGTGTATTGTTAAAAACAGGTTGAATACGCTATTGTGCAAATCGCAAACGAAATCGATTTAATTTTGATCAATCGACTGGTACACTTGTGCAATATTTTAGCAATATGAAATACTAAATGGATTAAAATTAATAATCCATTGAATACTCATTAATTGAAAAAATACTTAACATATATAAATAGATGTTAGAAAAATTAGCAAAAAAATCTTTTTGATCATGTTGTTGCATTTATGTGACCTGATTCTAAATAAAAGTATTTGTTGTTGTTGTTGATAAAATGCCATAACTTGATTTGTACATTTGACTGCAGTGAAAACCCAAAATTAATTTTTTGCTAATCTGTGTATTTTGAAGATATTCCAGGTGTAGTTATTAGTATGTATACTGTTGTAGAAGAAATGCAGCAGATAAGTTTACACATTGACTTAAGATTTAAAACCTGTTTTTAGAAATAAAACATAAAAATTCATGTAGTTATTAATTTTACTGTTACAGTAAACTTTTAAAGCAATGATAATAAACAAAATTAATTATTCATGAGAAAAAGGTTATATATAACAGAAAGTACAAAAGGGAAGTTATTCTATAATATAGTATTATAAGATATTTACATTCATATAATTAACATATTTCTAATCGTTTCTAATCTAATTGTTTTAGCAATATTAAAACTGTTTATTCAAAACTAGATTTATATTCACAAATTCAAAAATGTAGCTAAACACTGGATTCCGGTACTTTATGTACACAGCTCTGGGGAATTCACCTAAAGGGCGTGTAGTAATTTGGTAACTACCTGTATGTTTTTGTTATTTTTAGCTCATCTGTCACAAAGTGACAGGGTGAGCTTTTGTGATCGCTTTTCGTCTGGCGTCTTTTACTTTAAATGACATCTCCTCATAAACCACTGAGCAAATTTCATCCAAACTTCACAGGAATGTTCCTTTGGTGGTCACCTTTGAAAATTGTTCAAAGAATTTAATTCCATGCAGAACTCTGGTTGCCATGGCAACCAAAAGAAAAAACTTTAAACATCTTCTTCTAAAAAACCCAAAGAGCTAGAGCTAAGATATTTAGCATGAAACATGTTCTAATGGATGTCTACCAAGTTTGTTCAAATAAGAGCCCTGGGGTCAAAATTGGCCCGCCCTGGGGGTCATTGATTTTCCTTATATGTGTATAGCAAAAACTTAAAAAATCTTCTTTGAATAAAATCAAATAGCTAGAGTTTAGATACTAAGCCTGAAACATCTTCTAGTGAGTGTCTACAAAGTTTGTTCAAATAAAAGCCCTGGGGTCAAAATTGGCCCCGCCCTGGGGGACATTGATTTTCCTTATAATTTATGTGTATAGCAAAAACTTAAAAATCTTCTTTGAAAAAACCCGAATAGCTAGAGTTTAGATATTAAGTATGAAACATTTTCTAGTAAGTGTCTACAAAGATTTTTCAAATAAAAGCCCTTGGGTCAAAACTGACCCTGCCCCAGGTGTGTCATTGTTTTTAACTATATGTGTAAAGAAAAAAACTTGACCAGCTAGACCTTAGATGTTAAGCATGAAATATCTTCTAATGGGTGTCTACCAAGTTTGTTCAAATAAAAGCCCTGGGGTTTAAACTGGCCTCGCTCCAGGGGCCTATATACAGGTGAGCGACTTCAGGGCCATCATGGCCCTCTTGTTTTGGATTAAAGTGTAATAAAACAATTATTTATTTGTAAGAAAATAATTAAATATCTGACTGTATGAATAATTCAATACAAAAAAATAAAGTAAATACATAAGTTTCTGCAGAAAATTTCTCTATCTATTATGGCAGTTGCAACAACAACTGTTTTAATTTTACAGACTTTTATTATAAATAACCTTT